TCTATTAATGTCTTGTTTCGTTGTTTTTCCTCAGTTAATACACTTGAAGTTAGATCCAGCTTTGCTTTAAACTCTGTCTTAGTTTTTTCTATGGCTTCTTCCTTTGGAGTTTTTTTAAGTTTCTTCTCAAGAATGTAATTTTCCTTCTCTGCCTCTTTCAACTGCTTTTCCAGAGCTTTTATCTTGGCCTCAAGAAGTTTGGACTTCTCTTTTTCTTTCGCGATCGCGTTGTTCTTCACGCCGATTTCGTCAATCTTTCGGGACAGCTCAAACTCAAGTTTCTTCATTTCACTTTTTTGCTTTTCAATCTTCACTTTGTGTGCTGTGACTTGAGACATCACTTCCCTTTTTTCCCAAAAAATCTTATCTATCTGCTGTTTTGAGTCCCTCTCAATGTTTTGTAAAGCGCTTTGAAGCTCTTTGACTTTAATTTGGTACTGTTTTACCTCAGCTATCAACTTACTCTTGTGGGAACGCCGGTTCTCTACCTCGTTTTTTAATTTTGGGATTTGCTGACCTTCCAGGTATTTGTTTTGCTCGATAGAGCAGTTCAGCTCTTTGGTGAGTGACGCAATTTTCTCATTTAGAAGCTCAATTTGTTGATTAGCTTTTTCCAAATCCTCCTGCAGGTTGTTCTCCTTAATCAGTAATGCTGATTTGTCTCTAAACCTTTGTAACCAATCCATAACCAAGACAACCAATTCATCTCTAGTCATCTGTTTAATCTGAGACTGTGTCAACGAATCCGTTTCAAATGCCGACATTTTGACTGTCCAACCGATGTATCAGAAAAGCTACGAAAAAACGCAAAGTTAAATCCAATATGGGAAAACCGACGTCCACGCTTCTACTTGAGCTCTGCGAGTTTGATTCAGATATTTGAGGCATCTGTCCCTTGTGACATCATAACACTTTGACATCATCAGAGTCCATCAGTGGAATATTTTGATGTATGCTATGTTGCTATGCAACAGCAATACCAGCTCAATTTTCAGGCTCATGGGAGACTTACTGTGAAAACGACTCTTAACGTCCATTAACTATTATTTGAAGAATAGTTTAAGAGAAGAGCGCAAGTAGAACTGTTCAGCAGATCGTCTTGCCAGAACTCTCTATTCCTGGGAGGCTCGATGTGGAAACAATTATGGGTCTTTCTTCCGGGGTCCACCAGAAGTATCGCCATTTTACTGTATTCACGATGGAAGTTACATCTCTCTTTTCGGTCATTGTCCAGCGTTTAGCAAAACTTGTTCACAGAGGCGCCGTCTGCTATCAGAGAGCTGCTCAGTACAGAGGAGCGACAGGAACACAGAATGACGGTGAATTAGCAGCACAGCTAGCAGCACGTTTCTCTGAAGAAGTGACTTTAACCAGGAAGAGAAAAGCAGAGAAAGGATAAGGAAACAAAAAGAAATCATCATCTTCCTATCATTTCTTGTCTTTGTGATTTTTGCCAGCAGTAGCATCTGGTTCTTGATCATGTGACTCGTGTGACGCGAAAAAGGTGTTTCTACTGCAGTCTTGCGAAATAAATCTATTTCAATATGGGCAAAAAAAATCCCCTCATCTTAGTGCCAACACTTTTTATGAAGAAACTAGTTTTTTTTTCTAAATTTACCCTAAGAACATTTAAACAAATGTGTTTTCAAGCAACGGGATAAGAAAAGAGAACCCTACCAGGTCGTAAAACAAAACCGGTTGTTAGTAGGAACACCTCGTCTTTTCATAACCTGTCGAGACCGAAAGTCATGCAGTTCATCCCTGAGCCAAAGAAGACGCCTCCAGATGGGTCCCCACAGCTGCTCAGGGTCACTAGGGCTACGACGTGAGAACATCAGAGGCCAACAAGCTGCTGTGGTCGACTCTGTTTCTCTCATCTGGATCCACTGGAAGTTCTGGGACTCGGATGGAGAAAGCAGACTTGGAGCTTCTGGCTGTGTGTGCCCCGCTGCGTCCGCCTTCTTCTCTACATGACTGTCTGCTGTGTCAAAGCCACTCGGTCGGTGGAGGCTCCTGTTGCTTCATTCACTTCCTGCTCAGTTCATCTTCAGTCATCCTCCCACTGACACGCCATCTTCCTCTGGTTCAGTTTAACCTTTAATCATTCTGCTCATTTTGCATTTCATTTTTCTGAGATGATGGATCTGATCAAACCAGCGGCTGCAGCTGAACTATAATGTTTGTTTTGCAACAAAATATCACATTTTTGGTGTAAAATGAACTCAGTCCATCTCTTCCTTCATCAGATCAGATCAACATCTGAAGTTGTTCAACATCCTTAGCAGCCAGGAATATGACAGCATTAATGTCTGTCTGACCTGTTTGTTGAACAAACATGTTGGGTTTTCCTATTATAGCTGAGAGTCGCTGGCTACCAGTCTGTGGAAACAGGAGACTGGAGGTTCGGTGGCATCCAACTGGCATCCAGCAGACGCATCGTCCTGCCTGGCATCAGCTATCACCAATCAATCCGTGCAGCTTCAGGCCATCAGCCACTGGGAACCAGCGGATCAGCTGGACTTCTCATTATGGGACCACAACTGGAAGACGTTCAGAGCCGGAGCAGCGACTGCATCTATGAACGCAGACGACATGTTGAACATTATTACTGTCTGAGTTCCAGCTGCAGGATGGATGTCTGTGGATTCTCTGTGTTTAATAATGACTTGATCATGTTGATGAGACGGTTCAGAGCTGGGATCTGTCCACTTTGGTTTTCCATGAATGACAGTGATGGGAATGAACTGCTGGCACTCCATGGTTTTCCACGGTTTTGCATCGCTGACACTTTCAGGACAGTCGGATCAGAGCTGCTCTGGTTCCAGTTCATCTGGAGATCTGCTCTAGTCTCAGTCATCGTCTTCATCCCTTCATCCTAAAAGCCACCCTCATTATTCTGAGCTCAGTGTGGGCTGATGTGGAGACAAAGGAAGCCTTAGAAACGAAGTGGCCTCCCAGTTTGTCTGCTGATCTTGAGAGAAGATCCTGATTGAAACATTGTCCAGGAAGAAACCTGATGGATGTCCATGTTTTGAAAAGGAGAATTCTTTGTTGTCTGTTTTCATCTGATTGTTGAAAGAAAAGGAATGACTCAGACTGGAAATAAATGAAGCAACTAATGAGACTCAAGCAGACGGCACACATGTTAGTGTTTTACAGACCGACCCACGAGCTTTAAAAGCAACATATCTTCCACTTGATGGATTGCTCACAGTGTCTGTAGGGGTGAGGATACCACAGAAGAAGATGGAGAGCTCTGCTGATGTTGACTGTCATGTCCTGGTCAGGGGTCTTCAAATCCAGTCTTTGAGGACTGGTATCCTGCAACATTGAGATGCATCGCTGGTCCAAAACGTGTGAATCAAATAGCTGAATTACCTCCTCAGTGTATTTAAGTTCTCCAGAGTCCTGCTATTGACCTCATTGTTTGCAGATTGCAGGACACCGAACTTCAAGGACTAGACTTGAACAATCCCGGTCTAGGTCTCTCCACAGATCTTCACCCTGCAGCCTGCAGAGCAGCGAAGTTAGAAACATTCACAGCTTCCAGTGGTTGTTCCGGCCAGGTATCCCCAGATCCTGATCTGACAGCGGTCTAAGATAAATCCTTCTCTCATCATCTGTGATCCTGGTCTCACATCTCGATGCTGTTGCACATTTCCACCTTGTGTTCTAAGCAGCAGCTTGATGAATGAGGCTTTTGTTGCCTGTCAGGCCATGTTCTCTTCACCAGCACTGCTTCTAGCTCAGTCTGAATGAGAAGAGACATGTGAAAATGGTGTTTTTTTTTACACAGGATAACCAAGGGGAAAGCCTGAAACAATGCCAGGGCAGAGATGGACCTATTTCTGTGACACAACAGTCTCTTTATATGAGCTCATCCAGCTCTCACACAGACATCCAGAGAAAACCTGTGGCTCTGTCCAGCTTCTAGCAGAGAGATGGCATTTCCACTCATCTTGCACAAATCTCTGAGCTCTTCACACACTGAGTCATGGCAGCAGCATGGAGACAGAGACACACGCTTGATGAAATTCACAAACCCAAACACCCCCACCTGTCTGAAGCACTGAGGTGGGCTGCTAAGTGTTGTCATAAGATCTGGGTAAAGACCAGTTCTAACATTAAGGTGTGAAGGTTCAGAGGAGGAAGATAAATGAAGGTGCACCTTCCTGTCAAAGAGTCGTCTGTGGTGAATCAGATGGCAGCTTCTCCTGGAATCGCTCCTGCTCCTCATAATTATCACAACAAGTCTTCAGTTGACTTGTTAATGATGAAGGGAAGGTCCAGATGGGGGTTAAGGAAACAAAAAGGAAACCAGAACCGGTCCGGAGGCTGACAGGGAAAAGACTAGAATAGCATGAGAAGCTGTCATTGGTCACTGCTGCTGTGAAAAGGGTCTCCCAACAGGGGCGCTCTGTTACATCACCCAAAAACTCAAGAGAGAACTTTACGTACCATAACAAAGGTTTAACAAACAGTCCAACAGCAGATATGATTGCAGGTAATTGTACTTTTATGTCCATGTTTCCACTTTGTACTTGGTTCCTCCTGGTATTTAAGGTCTGCTGTGAAGGTCACCATCTTGTGTTTCCTCTACATCAGTGTTTAGAGCTCAGCAGGAGAGATTGTCATCGTTCCACTTGTGCTTTATTTGACATCAGGTCTAAATGTGCGTCTCTCTGCCTCCTATTTGTTTTTCCTTGTCACTCTCAATCGAGAGGCGAACGATGTTTGTCAGATGCTCCGGTGTTCGGTTGGGTTCATGGCCGATGCTTGGAGTGGTTGTTTCCGGCCACGCGGCTGTGAGTTTAAAATGGAGATTTGTTTGTTTTCTCTGGCAGGTCAAGAACAGTAAAGTGGTTTTAGTTGAGGCTGTGGCTGAGCTGCAGAGGTTCTAGTGTTTGTCGGTGATTCTAAAGGCACTCAGAAGCAGCCCAGATGACTCGCCAGGCCTCCCTTCAGCCAATCAGAGGGAGTATCAGACATCTATCACCCAGGGGGCGCTCTGACCTTGTCAGAACTGCTTGATTTTCCAGAAGCCCTTTGCATTCGGTCCACAACAACCTAACGCAACAAGTAATAAAATACTCAGCTCATCTTCATCCTTTTAATCGTTGGATGACCATCACTCCACCTTGTTTCATATTCAGGTGTGTTTCCATTGTAAACGTATGCAAAACTTTCACTTTTTTTATTGAGAAAGTAATACAATTAAAATCACATGTGAATAAGTTTGTTTATGTGAAAAGTCATTATAAAATATGCCAAGCCATCATCCTCTTACTCCGTCTTTGTTTTTACTTCAACTTTCTGTGGTCTTCTTCGTGGTTTCCAGCAGTAGTAACCTCTATTTATTTACGCAATGGAAACCTTTTTCTGTTTCGAGTCACGTGATCAACATACAAACACTTCACATTGAAAAACAAGTTTTTCCAATCACTGAATTTATTTCCAAAATGTCAAGTAGTGGAATTTCAAGGCTGATGGAAGCACAGCTACAGACTACAGACTGACCCGGATATGTTTACTGCGGCGTGAACAGATGCAAACAGCGAAACCGATACATAAGGTTTCAGAAGGTTTGTCTCTGATTTCCTCCAGCTGAGCACGGCTACAAGGCTTTGCTTCAGCCTTGTTTTCAGGGGGAAATGTCAGAGAACATTTTTCCCAAATTTTCAGTTTCTGTTGTAGACTTATAAAATTGCTCTTGTCAAGTTGGAGACTTGATGGTTAAGTGGCTAAGTGATCAGACTCAGAGGGCTTCTGGCTTCACTTCTAGTCCAAACACACCCTGACATGCTTGAATGCACCAAAAACACACATACACATATTGTCAGTCAAACATACATGTTGCTCGAACAGACATAGACGTTTCCATGCTGACCTTTGGTGCTGTTTCCAAGCACCGGTTAGGAAATGGTTTCCATGAGCCATTAGGTGATGAGAGCTCAGTGTAAGCCTCACTATCAGAACCATGCAAGGCTTGAGAGTCTTTACCTGCTCTCCACACATTACACTCTGCATGTTGTAGCCAGGCCTGTTGATGGATTTGTTTGGCATTCCTCGTTAGTGGCCACGCATGGCTGGTTGCTGATGATAGCACCCAGAGGGTATCGCAGCACAGAGAAGGTTACGCTGAGTTCAGGAGCCTGGGAAATTTCCTAGGTTTATTCCAGCTGCCTCAGTTCTGCTTCCAGGGATTCAGACTGGCCTCAAGGTGGGACTGACAGACTGTGGAGAAGTGTGACCCAGCATGGCCATTGAGTCACAGTTTTCTATCCATAGCCTTTAACAATAACACCATATGTGGGGACAGTCAGTCAGTCGTATATGTGTGTTTTAGAGAGTGTCTGTGGAATTTGTGGAGAGCCTTGTGACAGTCATGACTCAAGAGTTCAAGGCTGCTGCTTATTTGTTTAGTTAGCTATTAGCCGTTAGCCACCAGCGTGCAGGAGCCTCCAGGGAGACAATAAAAATATCCATCACACCACTGGCGCTCGTCCAGCAGGAAAGAAACTACGTTCAAGAAAAACTCTGCAAATGTAATGAGCAAATGTGGTAATACTCTCCTGGGTTTTACTCCAGACTCCTCATGCTACGCTACTGTCCGTCTCCCATCTGAATCATCTCTCTGTCTGTGAGGGACGGCTGCATCACAGAAAGATACTTTAAGCAGAAGATTCAGCCTGACTTATGGTGTCTCCTACTACTACTGACTGCACTTGTTTCTCACCTCCTGAGATCTCTCTTGGGTCTCTAATCACTATAACTATTCTATGAGGTCAGCAGGTCCTCCAGCTGTCTGTCTCATGTCTTCCATTGTTTTCTTTTCACAGATCCCAAATGCCTTGAGGAAATCCTTATCTGAGTGGAAAACCATCAGGTCTGAATGATGGTTTCAGACCTGATGAAAACAACCAGGATGACACACTCATGGTGTCGCTAATATGCTATAAACCAGAAGTTTTTTTATGGTTTATGATAGTGGCCAGAATTACTTATTCTAATAATATGTTGGAATAAGTGAAAGATGCAGTAATTTGTTGCTGTACGAACGAGGCAGGAAGAGTGAAAAAGCTCTTTAGCTGTATGAGGGAAAGAAACCTTTTTGAGTCAGAAATCAAAACATTCTCTGGAGATGATACATCATTGTCAACTTGGAAGTGTTCCAAGTGTTCCTTAATCATGTCTTGAGATGTTGCTTCAATATTTCCACACAATGTCTTTAGTCCAATGCCCCAGTCCCTCCTGTAAGAAAATAGCCCCACAACATGATGCTCTAAACCAGTTCTTGTTTAACATTTGCAGAAAAACTCATTTTGATGTGACTGATGTTTGCAGCCTCTCTGTTTCCTCTGCAGGGAGCAACAATAAGACGTGACGATGGAACAGGAGCCATCATTGTGGCCCGGATCATGAGAGGAGGAGCAGCAGACAGAAGCGGTCAGCTCCATCTTCTCTTCTTCTTCTTGCTCTTGTTCTTTCCACGTTTGTCTGTCAGCGGTTGGAGGTGTGACAGATTCTGACTCTGTGCTTCAGAGAAATGATGTGTTTGTGCCATAGATTGAATCAATCCACTCTTTAAAAGTGAACACAGACGGCAGAGCGCTGCTGCTCGTCCACATGTTTCACATTTGTGTGTGTGTGTGTGTGTGTGTGTGTGTGTGTGTGTGTGTGTGTGTGTGTGTGTGTGTGTGTGTGTGTGTGTGTGTATGTTCACTCCGTCCAGCCTGTGTGTGTCGGCTCTACCAGAGTCGAGCCAAAGGCAAATTTCCACACATGTCCTCAATAACATCATGATTCTTTTCCAGGCCCACTGATCACCGTCACTGTAAACATTAATCTACCGTTCTGTACACAACCTCAGGCTCCGAACACGCTGCACTTTCAAACAGTAGCTCACTAGAGTTGGAAGATTAGAATAATCAATATCAGGATGATCATAGAGATGTAATTCTGGTGTTTTTATATGTCAGGGCTGATTCATTCTGGAGATGAACTGAAGGAGGTCAACGGGATCCCTGTGGATGACAAGAAACCAGAGGATATCATTCGTATCCTGGTAAGGCTGGTGTATTTTAATGTACATCCAAAACCTTCTCGTCTGTTTTAGCTTTTCTTTCCTGGCAAAGAAAGCAAATATTCCTTGTTTGTGATGACAAAAGATTTCCTATTCCTCCCCCAGACCTCAGGCGTCGCATCACTCGGGCTCCAACCAGACACCGGTCTTTTTCTGCTCCGAGTCTTTTCTGGCCTTTAAACCACAGGTGCGGAGCTGGGTATTGTAATGAGCCTCACAAATTGATTCAATTTTAAGTCGATAATTATTTTAAAAACTTTGACATTGAATTAATTTCATTTAAATGTTGATATTAACAAATGTATGACACTCTTGGAAATACAGTAGATTTAGCAAGATTCTAATTTCCATCTGTAAACAACATACACACATAGCAATTCAATAAATAAAAATAAGAAATATTTGAACTGGAAGAAGATGAACTGCAATGCACTGATGAATCAATATTTTTACCCAACCCCAAACTGAGCTGCAGGCTCTCTCCGGGGGGAAACTGATGCCGGAGTCCAAGCGGTCTTCTCCAACAGGTCTCCGTTTTGGGACTGAAGTTTTCCAGGGAGGAACGAAAAAAACTCTTGTAAACTCTGAGCAGACACATAATACTCCTGCTCTTTTAAACAAACACACATTCACACAAAACATCAGTCCTCATAATTATCCCAGTTTACCACTAACCATGACCAGTTCATTACCTTCCCTACTCTTAAAGAGAAAAAGACCTCTTTGTTCTCAGTCAGATGCAAACCACCGATGGGGACAAACTGTTCTCAGTCATCCTACATTAAACCCTGACTTTCAGCAACTTAAACAGCAGGTGTTTGTGCAGGAACTCTTTGAATACGATCCTGGAAAGACAAAGCAAAGAGACTCTCTAAGAAGGCCTGCTTAAACCAAGACGATGCAACAGAGTAGCATGTCAAATGCGAGGCGAAAGATGATCCCTGTGTTGGTCAGATCCGGTCCAAATTGGTTCCCGAGAGGTAAGAAACAGTCTCCGGCCAGAACCACTTGTTCTATTCAATGGTACCTGGAAAAGCATAGAATAAGAGGCTGTTTTTTTTACCCAGAGGAGACAGTTTTTCTTTTCTGTTAATAGCCAAACATTTCTAAGGCAGGAAAGAAAACCTTGGAAATGTTCCTCCTAATCCACGGGTACCCGACTGCTCCAGAAGCAAAGTCTATCTTTGGTCTGAGCCTGTTTTTTGTTTCTCTAAGTTTGATCTGACAGAAAACCCACCAAGGTTTCTTCCATCCCATCCCTCTGTGTCTTCAACATAAAAGTCCTTTATTTGGCTCCGGTCCAGAACCAGAAGGTCGTCCAGGAATCTGCTTGGTTCAGTGCTGCTACCATTCTGGATTCTGGAGCTTCAGTAAAAACCTGTTCTTGTCCTCAGATGTTGGTCTGCTGATCATCACTCAGTCTGAATGTTGCAGAGAAAAATGTGGCCCTTCTTTGTCCAGCTTGGTGACGCGAAGGTTTTTATGTGTAGCTTCAGTAAACTGACCGGACCCCATCCGTCTTCTCATGAACTATTGAATATCTGCTGGTACTGGAAGCGCATCCATTCACCAGTTTAAGACAACTTCCTTCAGACAGACATGTTCAGCTGATGACTTGCTTCCCTGTCACTGTCTGTGAGTCTTTACTGGAGCAGGACTCAGAAATAACCTTCAGCTCAGCGCCCCGCTGACCACCTCTAAACTTAGCGTTAGCCTCTTCTTCCTCTGCTTCAGCCCGGCAGCCACTGATTTATAGATGTTTTCATTTCCAGCTTATGTTCAACCATACACTGGCGTCCATGCTGCCAGAAACGGCCGACACTGCTCAACTGTTCCCTCACTGGTTCGGTTGAGTGACTCACTTCCTCTCAGGAGTTTGGATATTTCTAACTCTCCTTCTTGCTCCATGAGCAACGGGCAGCAAATGTCGTCCAGAATGGAGGATGGTGGTTTCCAGTAAGCTTCACACTGTTGAATTAGCACATTGCATACATCACAGGCAAACATTAGCGATTGGGTAAAATTTTAAACTTTGACAGAGTCCACACCTCCAGCAAGCAATTGTTTCTCAATAGCTGTTTAGGCCATTTTAAAGTGGCCTGAGGGCCGTAAACTACAAGCTAATTGGAGGAAACCTTGGAGAGTCTGAAGTTACTAAATGGAGGACAGAGGTGCTGATTGAAGAGAGGGTCTCTTCCTCTTCCTCTTCAGTCCAGGAGCTCCATCAGCTGGAATAATATTGGTGTTGGCGAGAGCTGCAGTGGGTGGGTCCGTTTGCACTGAACATTTGTAAAATGAAAATAACCCCTCCCCTCTCTGCTTTCATTGATTCCTTCTTCAGTTAGAAACTGGCCTTTAAAGAGACACTAGTGCTGTTTAAGGCAGTTCTTAATCAACTCCGTTTTAGACCAGCTAACTCTCAGATTGACTGACCAGCCTGGCATTACCGCCTCCTGCCTTTCACCCCAGCTTCCTGCCATCAGCCCTTGATCTCTAACAGACTTTCTGAAAACCCTTCTTTGCTTTCTGACAGCGAGTCTGTTTCTGTCTGACATCCCAACCTCTCCACTGTCTGACCGGTTGCTTTACAGTCCGATAAACATGTGGACCCACTTATCTCTCACCTTGAGGGTCTCTGAGTCTCATTTAATGCATTAAAATGTTACCCATATTTTTCATGCTCCCAATTTCCACAGTAAAGAACGAAACCATTTGAAAACAAGTCTTGGGAAGTCCTGAAACCGTCACTTGCTTCACGTTCAGATACAAGGGCCAACTGAGGAGAGTAATGAACAAGAAAGTAGTGTTATTCTCCCAAGCAGAGCCCTGTGGAGGTTCATCCACGTCCTACATTTTCATTTCATGCTTTTAGTCTAACTGTTGAGGTATTAGTTACACTCTGTGCTCATAACTCAGGGCTACTTCCAGCAATCTGAGGTCAGTCAGAGGTCAGTTTTCCTCCCTGGCTGAAGATCAGATCACATCTCATGGTCTAATCCAGGGGTGTCTAAGGCGCGGCCCGGTCTGGTGCTGGAATGAGTCATATCTGGCCTACGATAATGTAATGATAACATTAACAAAAAATGTGTAATAAAAAATAGCAAGAACTTAGCAAAAAAAAAAAACAAAATGTACACATGTTAAATTCTTGTTGCAAAAAAATATTAGCCCCAAATCATCCCAAAAAATTGGAAAACAGTAATAACAGCTCTAAAACCTCTTTGTATACTTTGGATCTACTGTGGTTTACCAATCTGGTAACACTTCATTCGAAGGGATGTGCATAAAACTCACATGACACCCGTCATTAACAGACATTATGAATGTTTACGACTGTTTTCATAAAGTGCCATTTACTAAATAATGCAATATTGCATTAAAAGTGTAATTTAAAGGGTCACCTATGTGTTATTTGGTAAGTAATGACAATTTAATGCTGCGTAGCAATAAAATTTGCGAAAAAAGTCCATTGAAAGTGTCAACTTTGCATTAAAAGTTCAATGTTTATGACAGTGTCATGCCAGTGTTATGGACAACCCCTTCAAATAAAGTGTTAGCGATCCTTATTGTACTAACGACTCTGTTGTTAATTTCAGTAAAATCATATTGAGCGTTATTTGTGTAAAATGTTCACAAATAACAGTCATTTGAACAATTTTGGTCTTCATGGCCAAAAAGCCTGCTCACCTTTGGTCCAATCCATAAATCTGAACGGTGCTTCTGTGGTTCAGGCTGTTTTCCATACCATACAGTGAGACTGGGTTTTCACACTGAAACACTAAAGGTGAAATAGTTTCCCAGATTGCGCAGTGGAAGCATCAATGACAGCTTACAAAGTGGAGAGCTCTGGAACAACTTGGGCTCATCTTATTTCCTGCAGTCCAGCCAACGTACGCTTCTATCAGCAGATTGTAAATAACATCTGGTTGATTCTTCTTTATGTTCGCTTCATTGAAATAGTTTGGCTCGACCTTTGTTTACAACATGTCTGATTGTTGCTCGGGGCTGATGTGTCTTCAGACCTGATTGGTCCTCGAACCGGCAGCACATCCTCTTCCCTCTGCGCTTCCATCTATTTAAATGCTGCCCTCATCTCCTCCATTTGTCATCTTCTGTGGTGAATTAGCAGCAGGCATTTGAGAACAGGGGTCATACTCCTTTCAGACCCCAGCTTCAACTCGGTGTCTTTTGCTCCCCAAATGTCTCCTTGGATGTCAGGATAAATGGCTCTCTGAACTGGCCAGGTTGGCTTCCAGGATCTCAGTGTTCTCAGACAGACTGTTTCCTGCCTGATCTCCTTCCTGCTCTGTTATCACATGGTGCTCATGTACAAGGCCAGGAGGCCATTAGACAATGTGAACCAGTCCTGGTCAGATAGGCAGCAGATGAAAGCCTTGCACAGAATAATAAGGCTCTGGGAAGTATTTAAGATATATTTCTCATTATCCTGGTATCCTTATTGTTTGCTCTTTAAGCTTTCATCCTCTCTCTCCCAAATCACATCTCATCCTGTTAGAAATGTGGTAAGGCTTAAAATGTCCCATTCCAGCAGCAGGAGTTCGTATTGTGTCGCTCCTCTCCAGTCAAGTGCTTTTAATCAAAATCCCTTTTCAGTTACAGATGCTTGTTGAGTGAAACTCTGTCCCTCAGACAATTACAGTAGACTTCTGACAACTTCAAATCTATTAAAAAACAGCAACAACTAGAGAATTGCTTCATAACACATCGGATCTGTCAACATTTTGAATAATAAGTACTTTCTCCTAATTCCACCATGTGATCACTTATGTTTTGCCATATAGATGGAATAACTTCATTTTAAATGGACACCATTATGTAAAATCCTGAGTTTGAAGCTTCTCTGAGCCGCAGTTTTCCGTCTTCCGTCTCACAGAGCAGCTGTCCCTCGCCACTTCTCCACTCGGCACCTTCAGACTAGCCAGCAGCAAGTAGCAAACATGTTAGAACAGCGGGTCTGCTGAGCTCAATATAGGAGCTACTTCTCAGTGCAGTGCTGGTAAAAAAGTTGTGAAAGGGTTAATAGAGGAGCCATGTGGCGATGACTTCCTGGAGGCGAAGTTTCAGAATGAGCATGAGTGTCTTAAAGAGACAGAAGCCCAATTTCAAGGCCTTAAATTACATTCAGCTTTCCTTTAAGTCATATTTTAGAATAA